GCTGGGCTGGCAGGAAGTTTCCCATTGCGTTCACCATTCCCTGGTTATCCTTATGGCTGTTTGAGTCTGAGATCTGGACATGCACCAAGGCTTGGAGCAACCTGCTCTAGTGGAAGGTGTCCCTGCCCATGGCAGGGGGTGGGAACTGGATGAGCTTTAAGGTCCCTTCGTCCCAAACCACTCCATGATTGTCTCTTAACAACAACTTTCCAAGGGGCAGTTGCAATGCTGCAGATGAGGGCTGGGAACCACACAGTGCTGGGTGCTGTACACCCCATGAACCAGGCTTGTCCCAGCCAAGGGAAGCACCAACAAGCTGGAGGGGAGGAAGGACGTGTCATCACCCCTGATTTATAGCTGGGAACCTGAGGGATGCTGGAGCCGGAGTGGAAGCCAGGCTGCTGCCCAGTGCAGTCGCTGCCCTGAGGTCATGGTCTTGCTCTTTGCTGTAGGGCTCCTGTACGTTAATAGGAATCGATTGCCCCTGCTTCCTGCAGGATCTTGACCTCCTGGCAGGGGTGTTGCTCACTCCATAGGAGGGCAATGTCAGGCTCTGAGGTGAGCAGCGGGAGGCAGATGTGGAGGGAGGAGAGCGCTGGCCTGGCTCTGCCCTCGTCACTCACCTGCTGCGGAGAGTAATTGCTGCAAACCTCTGTGATGGGCACATCACTGCCCAGCCCAGAGCCTGAGCAGGATGGTCCTGGCCACATCTCTGTCCATCTGAACTAACCTGCCCCGAGCGCTCAGACTGTGCTTTGCAGCATCTGTCTTGGGCAGGGAGCAGCTGGGAGCTTGGTACCCCAGGGAGGATTCCAGCCGACAGCTGAGCAGCCGCGGGGACGGTCACTCGGTGGTCGGGGGCTGATACCCTTCCCTGCCCTCCTGGGATTCCCAGCTGCTGCACGGCCCCTGGTGTACGTGAGAGTCATCCCCAGGGTGCTGGAATTCCCCTCCGGCTTCCCCGAGCGGCCTCGGACCTCTCCCCATCCCCTCCGTGCCCATCCCCAGGACACGGCTCTGGCCCCGCTGAGGCAATTTGGAGCGTTGGAGGAGCTGGGGCTGTGCTGGGCAGCTCCCGTTGGGTCTGACTTTCAGCTCATAGAACCATGGAGTGGTTTGTGTTGGAAGGGACCTTAAAGCTCCCCCAGCTCCAACCCCTGCCCCGGGCAGGGACACCTTCCGCTAGAGCAGGTTGCTCCAAGCCCCTGTGTCCAACCTGGCCTTGAGCACTGCCAGGGATGGGGCAGCCACAGCTTCTCTGGGCACCCTGTGCCAGCGCCTCAGCACCCTCACAGGGAAGAGCTTCTGCCTCAGAGCTCATCTCACTCTCTCCTCTGGCAGGTTAAAGCCATTCCACTTGTCCTGTCCCTACAGGCCCTTTAGGGGGTCTCCAGCCTTGCGATGTGAGGAGGGGCACGTATTCAACTGGTGCTGCGACTCCGTGTTTATGTAGCCCCATAGCCACATGCAGTGGTGCTCGATAGCCGGGTTTACAGGGCAAACAGGGCTCCCTGAGCAGGAGCCATCATTTCTCTGCTACTCGCAGGAGTGAATCCGTGCTGCCTCATAGCTAGGAGCAGGAATAGGGCTGTTCGTCTTGCCGTGTAAACACAACTGCTAACCCCTCTCTTTAGAACAAGCATCCTGTGCCCTCCCAGCCTCCCACCCTTTCAGCTGGGAAATGAGGGCAGGAGTCTCTTATAATGGGAAGGAAAAAAATGGAGCCACTTACCATTTGTGAAAAGCAATAAAGTGGTTACTGCTTGAAAGCCTGGCTTCCGAGCCCCTCCAATATGCCGAGGGAGAAAGGGGGCAGTTTCATACACTGATGATGGTTTGTCTGTGCCTGAAATACCTGCCTCTTGAATTCCACAGCAGAGAGCCAGCGGGGTTTGCTGTACAAATGCAAGAGAGATTCATGTGGATAGTCACAGCCCGAATGCCTATGGGAATAGTTCACTTTAAAATAGGGAGTGTGGTTATTGCCAGTGCAGCAACTACAGCTTCAAAAGCAGTGTTTAAGGAATCGTTAACATCTTGTCTTGGTCATGTGATGGGTTTTCCTGATGGGATTCAGCTTTAGGCTCTTTGAAGTGTTTCAGCCAAGTATTTACTCTGACTATATTACAGCAAGTGCAGATCATTCACACTCTGGCTTAAATCCCTGTGCCTCGGCCAAATCCCAGCCGGAGTGATTTCAGTTTTGCCTACTGATGCCTAAATTCCTTACTGCTGTTTTAGGCTTCTTCTTCCCTTCGTGCCCTACCATGCAACGTCATGTTTCTGTATGTTGTTAAGCAGTCAGCTTCTTCCATCCTGGAGATGACTACTGTTCAGGGCTTGCTGCAATTCCCTTCGAGATCCCGCAGGCTGGAAAACAAGTGATGTCATCGCTTCACTTTGCAAGTGTCACTTTCTCGCAGAAAGTCAATAAATGCCTTTAGTTATACACTAAATGTGGAGAACAAGAGGCAGCCACTAGCGAGTCTTCCTTTGAAATCCACACTGTGGGAGAGGGCCGGGATGCTCCGTTTAGATGTTAAAGGGATGCAGCCATAGGGTGGATGAAGCCCCTCGCACCCCAGGGTAAGGAGGGTCCCCTTTCCAAATGGGCAGGAAAGGGGATGGTGCTCAGAGTTGGGATCCATCCTGGATACACTCTTCTGCCCACTGTTAGTGGTGCACAGTGTTATTCAACCTCGCCCCTCTCTCCGAGCTGTGATTTCAGCATCTCAAGGGACTGGCGAGGGGTGATCTCATGCAACTCGCTCTTCTCTGCCAGTTCCTGGTGCAGGCAGCTGGTACCTGCAGGTGGTTTTGAAGTCAGGTCATTGCAGCACTTGCTGCTGCTGGTGTGTCCTTGCACTGTGTTATGGACACGTGCAAAAGCCTCTCAGGATGCTGCCGGAGCGCAGCGATGTGTGGACACTTGCTTACGCTCTCTTCTGAAGGAATAATCACTGGGGGCTTGTCTGAACATTAGTGTGGAAAGATTGTCTTTTGTTTGAGTCTCTGATGTACCTGCTGGGAGCGTCAGGGATTTTATTCTTAGGCCATGAGGAAAGCACCAGCATGGAGACTTTGTTAATGCCTGATTCACTAGTGCCAGCATCTTTGTTTCTCTAGTGCTGAGGCAACATTTCAACGCCTGAAGCCTCAAGTGGATGTGTCTAGCATCCTCCTGCCTCATTTTGCAACTCAAAGCAGCCTCCAGCCTCCGTTCCCACCCCCAGGCAGATACCCCAGCCCTGATTCCAGGTACACAAGCATTGCTGGCGAGCCTTCAGCTTCCTTAAAGGTGGGAGATGAGTGGGGATGGCTGAGGGATGCCAGTCCCCCGGGTTCAGGTGGATGCCGGGATTCTCGGGCATTCACCCGCAGCAGGGTGCCGTGCCTCGCAGCAGAGCCTGGCAGACACCCAAACAGAGCGGTTTTATTGCTGACAGATAATCTTTTAAGCTTTCAGATGCAGGCGTGTCAAGCCAAGTGTTCCTGTTGCCCTGGCGACGCGATGCATCAGCTCCCGGATGCTGTGTCTGATCGCATCAGTCTGGAATGTGATCACTTTGTGCTGATAAGGCCAGGAGTAGGCAGAGCCAGGGAACTGGGCTGCTCAGCTGCCGCAGGAGCACCCAGGAGTAAGGGGTGACCTGCTCCAGGGGGAATTGCAGGATGTGTGTAGGAAAGGACCGATCTTGAGTAGCTTTTGGTGCTTGTTCGGTACCCAGGGATGATGTGAGGTGCTGACACAGGGTGCCCAGAGAAGCTGTGGCTGCCCCATCCCTGGCAGTGTTCAAGGCCAGGTTGGACACAGGGGCTTGGAGCAACCTGCTCTAGTGGAAGGTGTCCCTGCCCGGGGCAGGGGTTGGAGCTGGAGGAGCTCTAAGGTCCCTTCAACCCAAATCAGGCTGGAATTCTGAGACTTACCCGTTAAGATCCTCCTCGGGCCGGTGGCTGAGAGGAGCATTAAAGGAGTCCAGTGCTGTTAATGGAAAATCCCCTGCCAGACAGGTTAGAGGATTGAGATGATAAAGGCTGGTGGAGGAGCAGCCCTGTGCTCATCAGATTAGGAAGGGGAGAGGGGCAAACCCAAACCTCCTGGGGCCTGGGACTGCAAGGAGCAGAGCTGTGGCTGTCTGGGGGAGAGACACTGATGTCTGCAGGTCCAGGGAGCTGTTTGCTGGCAGGAGGAGCAGCACCCGAGTGCAGCAGAGCCGGTGCTAGAGACTAAACCCTGCTCAGAGCCCAGTCCCAGCCGTGCTGCTGAGCTGCAGACGGGCCTGGCAGGAGCCACAGTGGGAAAGGCAGAGGAACGCGGGGCTCCCTCGGCTCAGCACGCTCCGCGTATGTCCCGTGGGGGGTTCTTCATCTAAGGGCCTCATTGCTTTCATCACATCCTTGGCTGAGGCCATTCTAAAGCCTCTACAAGACGAGTCATTTGGGAGCTTGTGAGCCGGAAGCATCTCCCCTTGCTCTCGGGGATCCCCCCACCGGCACCGGCTCCGCTCAGCACTTTGCTCCTGGCTCAGGAAGTCTTTCTTGCAAGGGCAGAGCAGCGAGCAAGGTGCCAGGGGCCAGGTCTTGTGCAGGGAGGGTGTGGTACTGGGTCTGTCCAATCCCTCCGTACTCCTCACTGCTTTCCTTCTAGTTCTACCCTGCTTTCTCCCTGTTTCCCGGAGTTTCCAAGGATGCTGTAAGGCGCAGCCTGTGTTGGTGCTTGTGATTGAGCATGCACAGCCCTGCTCTGGGCTCACCGCTGGTCTCTAGCTCAGGAAAAGCCCCCTGCACATCTGACCACGGTCAGCTCTCAAAAGGACCCTGATTGCCCTCGTGACACAGCTCTGCCACAGCAGCAGAGCCAAGGAGAAGAGTGTGTCCCCAGGGATCCCTGTGGATCCCCAGCAGCGGGCTGGGGGGCCGTCCCGTGCGTGGTCCAGCCTCTCAGCCTGCTCTCTCCCGTTCCCTGCAGGGCTCTGCCATCCCTCACAGCACCAGCTAAAATGAACAAGATGAAGAACTTCAAGCGGAGGTTTTCCCTCTCGGTTCCCCGAACAGAGACCATCGAGGAGTCGCTGACGGAGTTCACGGAGCAGTTCAACCAGCTCAACAACCAGAGGAATGAAGGTGAGGAGCCTCGGGGCCCCTGTGCAACGCTGGGGCTAGTCGGGAGCATCTGGGGTCAGCGCCGCCTGCAAACATCTCCACTCCAGCCCTCAGGCCTTCCCCTGGGTGTGTGGAAAGTTACTGCCCCTGTGTCTGTGTTGCTTTCCCCATCTATCCAGCAGGATTAATAACACCGTGTCATTAAACCTGATCTGCAGAGAGATTTATGCTTGCATAAGGAAAGCCTTATGAGGAGGGAAAGGTGTTTGCACAAAATGGAGAGGAATGACACATCTGTGGTTAAGGTAGAGTGGGAAAGTGTGGGATCTCCTCCTGCCTGCCCCAGAATGCCGGTGCTTGAGCCCTCTCCAGGCTGACAGCTCCACCAAGAGCAGGGGAGCATCTGGGGCTCCATCCCTGGTGCTCCAGGGAGCCATCCCTGGCTCCTGGACCCCACAGCCTTCTCCTGGGGTGCAGGTCCCAGGGAGCAGGGAGCTTTAGGGTTAACAGCTCCATGGGCTGAACAGGGCACATCCCTTCTGCAAACAGCAGCCTCACTGCAGGCTGGGGCAGGCTCTGCTGGCTCCTGTGGGCATATCAAAGGAGAGGTACTGCTGGAGGCACAGTCGGGAGCGCATCGTGCCAAGGCGGCTGTGCAGGGACAAGCAGGCAGAGCACTGACAGGCATTTGGAAGCCTGATAAAGTCAGACTTGATTCATCCGGGGGTAGATCTGCTGCTGCAGGAGCGAGGCTGGACCGCTCCTGGCCATCACATCATGCGCCTGCTGCTGCCTCCTACCAAAGAGCTCGCTTTGCCACAGGCAGTCTGCTCATGTGCCGGTGCCCTCAGCTCCACTCGGGTCACGTTCAAGCTCTTCTTCCCCTCTCCCCGCAGCCGTAAGTGCTGGAAGCTTTGGCTGCAAGCAGGGGCTGAGGCCCTGATGTAACTGCCTGGCACCAGCAGGAAGAGGGTTGTCTCTCTGCCAGCAAACCTGCTTGAAAGAAGAGGTATGGGAACCTCATTTAGAGCTGGCTTCCCTCACTCCTGCAGCTCCTGGTGCTCCTCTTTATCCCTCCAGGCTGCCCTGAACACCATCCCCTCATCCTTCCCTGCTGCGACCCATGCACACCTCCCCTCACACCCTAGCAAGCTGTCAGGGCTATAATTAGACTTGAGCCCTTAATTAGATGTGCAGAAGCTGTGGGGATAAAACGGTGCAAGGCTAAGTCCTGGGTGCTGACTGCTGCAGCTGCCTTCCTTGGGGAGCCTCTGCTCTGGGCTGGCTGAGCCTGGGCTCGTTGTCTCTGCTGTGCAAACCGAGGGTTCAGTCTGCAGGGGTTGGATTGATGATCTTTATGGGTCCCTTCCAACTCGAGGTATTCTATGGTGGAGGGATGTGGTGCTTCGGATGTGTAGGGGGATGGACCGTTTTGGTGGTGCTGGAAGGGATGGGGAAGGGGTTTATGTGCAGATTGCTCTCTTGTTTGTGGTGAGGTTTGGACCTTGTGGGGGCTGCCAGGTCTGGAGAGGGCTCTGATTTCAGCTCTCGAAGGGGTTGGTCTCATCCATTTTACAGATGGAGAAATCAAAGTGCAGAGAATGACTTTGCATCAGTGGTGCACAAAGTTGGTAGCAGAGCCCGGAGCCAGGGCAGTCACTTGTGCTGCTTCCCTTCCCCTTTGCTTCACGTCTCACCTCCCTCATCCCCGGCCCCTGAGCCTGCCCCTGGCTGGCTGCAGGGAGGGCAGCCTCCCCTGCAGGGATCCTTCCTCTGTGGTGGGCAGATGACCTGTGACAGTCCAGATACTGTGATCACTGCTCCAGAAGAGAGTGCGAATCACAGCAGAGATCAGCACATCCTTGGTTTTCTTTCATCGCCCCATCCAGCTCCTCAGGGAATGCAGTTTGTATCTTGCCTCCAGCATCAGAGATGAGGGGTTATCAACACTCACAGGTCACGGCAGGCTGCACATCCTACGCTTTGGTGGCTGTGAGTGTCTCTGCCTGTCCTTGGCGAGGAGGGTGATGCAGAGGCTGGATGAGCTGTGAGGTCCCTGATGATTCTGAAAGATGCTCCAGGAGGATGTGTGGAGCTGCTCTCACGCTTGCGATGGGACAAGGCCTTCTCGTGGCTACAAACCTGCCCGTTGGTTGTTGATGTGGTCAGAAATCCCTGCTCTGTTCTCTCCACCCTGAAATTCTCCTGACGTCGTCCACAGAGGCTGATAAAACAAGGCCTGAGAGAAGCAGAACTGGCAAATGGAAAAGCAAACAGCTTCCAGCCTGGACACATCCCGTCAGAGGCAATGTCACCTTGGGGGAGTCTGACAGTGCAGACGGGGAGGGGGTGCCTATGCTCAGAGCCTGCCTCAGGGTGCCGAATGTGCCCATCCCACACATCCCTCCCCTGGGCAGCCTTTCCTCAGCCATGGTGGCTGCTCAGCTGCAGAGGCAGAGGTGGAAGGAAGCCCCTGGGTTAGAGAGAGCCCAGGATGGGCTCTGTGCTATATCCTCGGAGATGGGGAACCTTCCCATGGCTGCTCCAGCTTTGCATCAAGGCTGAAGGAGGGAGGCTCCATCCTCTCCTCCTGGGCTGCCCCATTCACGCATTCCTCCCCATATTCCAGATTTTCCGAGGTATCACGTCTTGGTGTCTCCCATTTGCTTTGATAAGAGCTGGAGGCATTCAGCAACAGCTCGTATCTGTGCCAAGGCTTCACCCCAAACCAGCTACAACATGTTCTGTCCTCAGGACAAATCATAGAACTATAGAATTCCAGCCCGGTTTGGGTTGAAGGGACCCTAAAGCTCCTCCAGCTCCAACCCCTGCCCCGGGCAGGGACACCTTCCACTAGAGCAGGTTGCTCCAAGACATTGTGTCCAACCTGGCGTTGAACACTGCCAGGGCTGGGGCAGCCACAGCTTCTCTGGGCACATCCAGTCTCAGTCTTCAGGCTGCAAAGGGTGAGTAACTCCCAGTTTGCAGTGGCACAAATCAGAGCCAGACCTGCCCTTTGGAGTGCGAGGCCACAGAGAGGCGGTGGTGATGGGGAGGAAGGAGGATGGATGATCCCAGGTCCGAGCGCAGCTCTGCCTCCTGAGTGTGAGCGAGCCTCGAGAGGAGAGTTCTCGCTCAGCACGGTAAGTAAAAGCTCTAAGTCAGGCAAGCAGGGAAGGGCTCTGGCCCCTTTCCTTGGGAGATCAAAGCTTGTGTTGGCAGAGGCAGTGGTTAAGTGTATTTATAAGGAAAGGCGGGAGCTGGCGGGGGGGGGCGCAAAACGGGGGCAGCCGCTGTGTCTGCGGCCTCACTGCAGCTTGCTTTGATAGCCCAGGGAGCCTCATTACCCGCAGTGTCGGGGCTCACCCCAGTCCACGTGAAATGGAGCAGAATCCCACAGGCCCTCGCCTCTGCACGCCCCCAGCTTCCCATCTCCTGCTGTGAGCACCCAGCCGGGTCCCGGGGGCAGCCCCAGCATCCCTGCGGGATGGGCACCTCGAGGTGCTGCGGGCACCTCACAGCATGGATGCAGTGGCACATCCCACCTTTTCTCTCTGTGTATTTTGACATGCTTTTCCCAGCCTGTGGTCATTCACCTCTTTTGCATGTCTCATTCCCATACTCCAGTATCCCCGATCCCACATCGCGTGCAGAATGTTCAGGTTGTTTTACCTCTGGCTTTACGTCTGATGCTCTTGTAGATGAGAGACTGACACTGATCTACCTGGAGGGCTGCTGGTGCTGCAGATTGGCACTTTTCGGGGCAGGCTGCATCTCTGACCAAGATTTTGGGCGTGTTTACATGTGGGAACCAGCACAAAGTCACCCAAACTATCATTTAAAGTGGATTAGTTGAACTCCCTTCCCTCGGATTTTCAATGGCCTTTGGGTCTTTTCCAGATAATTTGCTTAGGAAGTGAGCAAGTTAAAAAGATTTGATCCACTTTAATTGATCCACATTAATTTCATACCTGTGATTAATTCAGGGTAAGCTTCCAAACCCTTCCTGCACAAACAGATGGTGAGCAAGGGACAGGGACCAGGGTCCTGCAGCGGTCCTGGGAGAGAGAAGGGGTCACTCTGTGCCTTGGTCTTGCCTGTCTCCCAACACCTCCTGGCAGTGTTTCAGATGCTCCCGAGCCCAGTGGCCTGGGCTGATCCCATCCCTGAGGTGCGGGCTGTCTGTCGAGGACACCCTGCATCCCTTAGCTCACAGGTCCCCTGGTCCCCAGTGACCATGGCATGAAAACACATCTCTTCGCAGGTCACTTGCCTGCCACCTCTCATCCATCAGCTGAGCAAACTGCAGCCAGGTCCCAGCCCTGCTCAGCGCCCCGTGAAAACCAGCCCTCAGCAATGAGCTCATCCCTGGCTGCCTGAGCACATGGGATCTGCACTAGGCATGGCAGGGGACTGGGGCTGTGCAGCCCAGGGAGAGGGCTTGGCAAGGGGCAGGGCTGCGAGGCGCAAACTGGGACATCACACAAAGCTGGCGGGAGGCTTTGGACAAGGGCCAGGTTTCTTGCTCTTTTCGGGGTTTCTTGGGCCCAGTGAAGCTTCACACCTGGAGTCCCGGGAGGAGAGTTGCTTCTCTGAGCTGCTTTGGTTTTCAGGAGAGCTTTTGTGCTCTCAGGGCTGTGTGTCTGGCTGAGTGCAGCGGCTCGGGGCAGGGAAGCCTCGAGTGTGGCACTTTGCAGCGACTCTGGAGCCTTTAATCCCAAACACCTCCTGAGGAATGGTCGCATCCTTGGAGGAAAGTGCCCTGAGGTCTGTCGGTGGTGGCTCCTGCGGCAGATCAGGTCTGTGTGCTTGTAACCTCCCCAGAGGCAGGGCTCTCTTCCTGGGTTGCTTTCACGCAGACTTAGCACAGAGCTGTGGCCAGGCACCCAGGTGCTCCAGAGTGCTGTCTGATGTGATGGTAGTGAAGGTAATAGGAGGTTTAGATGAACACTCACCCCTGTGGGGATGCTGCAGCAATGCTGCCGGGGCTGGGACATGGGAGATCTGGGTGGCTTTGGGTGTGAAGCGGTTCCTGTCTCTGCATTGCCCCCCTGTCTGCCAGAAGGGACCCTCATTGCAGGGGGCTGCATGAGGGATGCTGCTGAGCAGAGCTGTGTGCGTGGTGATGCTCAGGAGGCTGGAGCAAAGAGCAGGTATTCCCTCTGCCTCCTGGATACAGAGAAGGAAGAAGGTTTTCCCGTGGCCCCAGAGCATCTCTGCCTGCTCTCACTCTCTTTCCTCCAAAGCAAGTGCCTCGGGCCTTAGCCCTTCTGCTGCCACTCCAGCAGCTCACTCTCCTTTCTCTTTGTCCTCAGACCTGGCCCAAGGGCACCTGCAGTTGGGACATCTTGGCCGGGACTTCCGAGCAGACACCAGCCCCATC